AGAAGAAGAAGAAGAAGAAGAATTAGAAGAAGAAGAAGGTTTTGGAAATAGCAACAAAAAACTTTCACACTTTCACGTTTATTTACTGTCAAACAGACAGCTCATTTCCGGAAATGAGTTGCATAAGAACAAGAATCAACTGCAGTTAAAAAAACAAAAACAAAAAACAATAACAGCATCAGTTACAATCTATTTATAAATTCTGTCAACTGTGTAGATACATTTTTATCTCCTCAAAATAATTAGACATGCACTGCACTATATACCCGTTTATATCGTTTCTTTTTCACAACATAGTTATCAATGAGTCTGCAAACACTACTGTCCGACTTTGCCTGCCTATCCTGTACCAAAAAAAAAAAAAAATAAGGCCAAGATGGCAACAATAGATCACTTAAGCATCTCGCAAACAACACCAACAATGGCATACTGTCACCGACTCCAATTATCAACAATAGCCGCCAATAAAAACACGTAAATTTATGCACCGGAAGCTGAAGAGGCATTCTGTTGAACTGATCCGATGTCCTAACTGTCAATGTGTTAGCGTGCGGGGGTTGTGAGCGAAGACAATCTCGTTTCTATAAACTCATCGTAAGATGATTGCATTTTACGTGAGTGTCCACTGCTGGAAATGCCCATGCTGTTTTGGGTCACTTCGTGAACTCTGACCCCCTCCCCCTCTCTCTCTCTCCAGTACAAACCAGGGGCGCCGGAAATTAAGAGCTCAGGCAAATGAAGGTGTGCACCCCCCCCCCTCACCTTTTACAACTGGAGGAGCTGCCTAGGCGCTTCCTTTTCAGTCCAGAAAATCTACAAGGGGACTGACTAAGTCACCCCGTTAAACAGGCATACTCTTTATTTAAATATCTGTTCCTACAAAATGTAAAGTTATATTTAATTGCCATTTGCCAGATACAAATATTTGTATATTCTTCTTCTTCTTCCTTCTTCTGCCTTTCTACCCCCCAATGGAGCATAGGCCCTCAACTAACTCAAGCCAAGTCGTTCTATCCTTCGCCATTGCATGGAGCTCTCCCCATGTCCTCCCAATCTTTCTAACCTCATTCTCCAGCTTTCTTCTCCATGTGTTTTTTTTTGGCCTTCCTTTATTTCTACGCCCCTGTGGGTTCCAATGCAAAGACATTCTAGTTATGCTGTTCTCCTGTTTTCTCAGTGTGTGCCCTATCCAACGCCAGCGTCTTTTCCTCACCTCCTGATCCACTGGAGCCTGTTTAGTTCTCTCCCAAAGTTCTACATTAGTTATTCTATCATACCATTTTATTCCCTCTATTCTGCGCAGGCACCAGTTAATGAATGTCTGTAATTTATTAGTAATTGCCTTGGTTGTTCTCCATGTTTCCGCCCCATACAATAGTACTGATTTGACATTAGAATTAAAAATTTTTAGTTTAGTATTTCTTTTAATTTCTTTTGACCTCCACAAATTCCCTAGTGCTATGAAAGCCCCTCTTGCATTTTGTATTCTTATTTTAATATCTCTATCAGTTCCTCCATCTTTATCTACATTACTGCCTAAATAGGTGTACGACTCCACGTCTTGGAGTGGGGTGCCATTAAGAGAAACCACATTACTATTTGCCTGATTTATTCTCATTATCTTTGTCTTTCCTTTATGGATTTTCAGATCAAGCTGCTGTGATCTCGCATTAAGTATAATTCATTTATCTTGTATCTGATTCCGTGAATGGGACAGAAGAGCAATATCATCAGCGAAGTCCAGATCATCAAGCTGTTTTGTAGGGGTCCACTGAATTTCATTCTTGGTGTTAGCAGTTACTGTTTTTATAGTCCAGTCTATAGCCAGTAAAAATAAGAGAGGCGACAAAAGACATCCCTGTCGCACACATGTTTTTATTTCAAATGCATCTGTTAGCTTACCCTCATGAAGAACTCGACATTTCATGTCTTTATATGTTGCCTTAACTAAGTTGATAATTTTATGTGGGATTCCATAGTGCCCCATCAATTTCCAGAGAGATTCCCTATCAATGCTGTTAAATGGTTTTTCATAGTCTATAAATCCAATGTAAAGTGGTGAGTTCAGTTCAATGCTTTGCTCTATTATAATACGTAATGTGGCTATCTGATCAGTACAGGATCAAATTGTATATTACTGCGCATTTAAACAAAGCTCACGACCTTCTGGGTCGCCCCGCCTCCTGAAAGAAATTAATACAGGGACTACCCTTCCCCCATGTTTTCTCTGTATTGGCGCCCCTAGGTCTTGGAGGTAAGTCATAGCTGAGAGGTTACGGTGTCTGTCTCAAGTTCAAAAAACCAAATGCGAATTTCAGTATGTCTAGCCTTGGTTCCAGCCCCCCCCCCCTCCTCCCCCCCCCTCCGGGGGGGGGGGGACCTACTGCTCCTTAATAAGTATTTCGTAATAGGCGACCTAGTTGCGCATTCTTTACAAGACTTTGTAGAACCAACCCCAGTATTTTTTGGCTTGTGTAGTTTTTTCTAGGCTTATGTACGTCCAGCAGTCTGCCATTGCTTACGGGACGGTCGGTTTCTCGATACCATTGTTGAAACCAACACAGGCGCAAGGCCTGCAGCTGGGATCAAACCCGGCACCCCGGCATTACGAAGCTCGCTCGCAACGCCTAAGCCACAGACAAGTGGGGTATATTAGCTGAAATCAATGTGCTAGCCCGAAAGGCGCAGACATCGCAGCTAGCTGTAAACCACTACATACTTTGCCAACCGCCCATTTAGGGGCGAACGTAGCAGCAGCAGAAAAAGAAGAGGAAGAGGAAGAGGAAGAGGAAGAGAAGCAGAAGCAGAAGCAGAAGCAGAAGCAGAAGCAGAAGCAGAAGCAGAAGCAGAAGCAGAAGCAGAAGCAGAAGCAGAAGCAGAAGCAGAAGAAGAAGAAGAAGAAGAAGAAGAAGAAGAAGAAGAAGAAGAAGAAGAAGAAGAAGAAGAAGAAGAAGAAGAAGAAGAAGAAGAAGAAGAAGAAGAAGAAGAAGAAGAAGAAAGAAGAAGAAGAAGAAGAAGAAGAAGAAGAAGAAGAAGAAGAAGAAGAAGAGAGAAGAAGAAGAAGAGAAGAAGAAAGAAGAAGAAGAAGAAGAAGAAGAAGAAGAAGAGAAGAAGAAGAAGAAGAAGAAGAAGAAGAAGAAGAAGAAGAAGAAGAAGAAGAAGAAGAAGAAGAAGAAGAAGAAGAAGAAGAAGAAGAAGAAGAAGAAGAAGAAGAAGAAGAAGAAGAAGAAGAAGAAGAAGAAGAAGAAGAAGAAGAAGAAGAAGAAGAAGAAGAAGAAGAAGAAGAAGAAGAAGAAGAAGAAGAAGAAGAAGAAGAAGAAAAAGAAGAGAAGAAGAAGAAGAAGAAGAAGAAGAAAGAAGAAGAAGAAGAAGAAGAAGAAGAAGAAGAAGAAGAAGAAGAAGAAGAAGAAGAAGAAGAAGAAGAAGAAGAAGAAGAAGAAGAAGAAGAAGAAGAAGAAGAAGAAGAAGAAGAAGAAGAACCACGACGACCATCTCGGCATAAAGACACATAAAAAGAAAACTGATTTTCATTTAATTATCACTTTGTGTGATTATAAAGATTATATTCACTTTTTTCAGATAAGGGCGAAAAAAAAAAAAAAAAATAGATCAGTGAACATTTTGTGCACGATTAAAAATAAGGACGATGATAATGACGACGAAGAGACTACTGTAGCCCTCAGTACTAGTTTAATAATTTCCTATATTTTATTCTGTTAACACTTCCAGTTCCTTTTTACCTTTAGCAATACCGCAAACAGTGTCGGGAGCATTCGGTATTCATTCCACGTTGCCTGCATATTTCTGTAGACTGTTTTACTTATTGGACTGTTTCATACGGAAGTATTCATCTGACTATATGCTTTTGCATATTCAAATTGAATGAATGAACTATGAGAACTGTCGGGTTTTCTTGTAATGCCTTCAAAGCCGATGTCCTTGAAGTGTCGGGTTCCATTCATGTATGCGATATGCACTATGCACTGCACATGTGTGTCTTATTTCTATCAGTGCGTTACTTTATCGCGTTTCGTTAACGTTAGGTTAAAAAACATGATATTGAAACTCAGAAGGATAAGAAGAACATACAGTAAAAGTAAAGGACCGTTTTCCACGGCTTTAGGGGTATTGGGCTAGATCTTTATTTTATGTTGAATGTTAAATGTTGAATTAAGAATCGACATCACAGCGCTCAGTCCCTTCAGCAGCAAGCGAAGAGTTACTAATTCCGATGGTACCTGTAACTATATTTTATACATCACTCGACACATGGTGGGCGATGTGGTCACCACCCCGCAAGCCGCCTTTGCTTTCCAGGACTTTACCTGGTACCCATTTAAGGCTGAGTCGACCTGGCAGTCAAGGCCATGTAAAAAAATAAAGTAAGGTTCTGTTAGGATCTGAACCCACGAGCTTCACTCAGGCGAGCTTCTAACTGCCCACACCACGGTGGCACACAGAAGAACATATAATAGAACTTAACAGGGTGGTTGGCGGCTTATAAAAGAATATATAATCGAACTCAACAGGTTGGTTGGCAGCTTATATAAGAACATATAATCGAACTTAACAGGGTGGTTGGCAGCTTATATAAGAACATATAATCGAACTTAACAGGGTGGTTAGCAGGCTATATGTTATAGGTGTGATGTGTCTCAGAAGACAGGACATGCAGGTGCGATGTGTCTCAGAAGACAGGACATGCAGGTGCGATGTGTCTCAGAAGACAGGACATGCAGGTGTGATGTGTCTTAGAAGACAGGACATGCAGGTGCGATGTGTCTTAGAAGACAGGACATGCAGGTGCGATGTATCTTAGAAGACAGGACATGCAGGTGCGATGTGTCTCAGAAGACAGGACATGCAGGTGCGATGTGTCTTAGAAGACAGGACATGCAGGTGCGATGTGTCTTAGAAGACAGGACATGCAGGTGCGATGTGTCTTAGAAGACAGGACATGCAGGTGTGATGTGTCTTAGAAGACAGGACATGCAAGTGCGATGTGTCTCAGAAGACAGGACATGCAGGTGCGATGTGTCTCAGAAGACAGGACATGCAGGTGCGATGTGTCTCAGAAGACAGGACATGCAGGTGCGATGTGTCTCAGAAGACAGGACATGCAGGTGCGATGTGTCTCAGAAGACAGGACATGCAGGTGCGATGTGTCTCAGAAGACAGGACATGCAGGTGCGATGTGTCTCAGAAGACAGGACATGCAGGTGCGATGTGTCTTAGAAGACAAGACATGCAGGTGCGATGTGTCTCAGAGGACAGGACATGCAGGTGCGATGTGTCTTAGAAGACAGGACATGCAGGTGCGATGTGTCTTAGAAGACAGGACATGCAGTTGCGATGTGTCTTAGAAGGCACAGTGCACCTAGGTCACGGCCTAATGTGACGTGGCACGGTTGAATCTTCAACATAGTGGCCCTGTAATGTGACAAGCCAGATTATGTCACAGATAACATTAACTGTAGTAAATAAGTCAAATCTTATATTTCTATTCTCTAATCTGGGATCTTTGCTGGCTATATTTATCACTTTTCAGAAACGTGTAGGACGGGGAGAGAGGATTGGGGGTGTCTCGAATGTTCCACCACTCTCATCATCATCATCAACATCATCATCATCATCATCATCATCAAGGGCCTTGCCGACTGGCATTGGTCACCAGGCCTCTCCACAATCTGCGACCCTCAACAGCGTGTGCCAGTTCGTGTGTTCACACTCACTTCAATTCCACGACAAAAGGCTGCCATGAATCGTCTCGCCTTGTCTTCCCCTGTCTCTTTTCCCCACAGATCTTTCCAGTGGTCACAATAATTTCCAGTTTCCTTCATCTCATAAAAGAAGTTATCCTATTCCGAACCAACCCTTAGCATTTTTTATTGTTGTTGTTGTTGCTGTTGTGGCTCTTCTAGGCACATTTTACGTTCAGTAGTTTGCCACTGCAACTGAACGGTCAGCTCACGGTACCACTGTCGAAACCAACGCAAGACAAACCGTCCGCAGCTGGGATCGAACCCGGCACCCCGGCATTACGAAGCTCGTTCGCAACGCCTAAGCCACAGACTTCTCAGGACACACAGCAGTTCAAAAAAGGTACTGAGAAAAGAAGAAGAGGAAGACACACTGTCTTCCTTTTTCTTGTTCTTTTCATTCAATCTCCTTCTTGCTCTCTTTCTGTCCTCAGTTTATTCAGTGTGCACAATAAAATCCTAAGTATATGTTGAGTGTATAACATTTTGGGTGTATAACATGTTGGTGTATAAAATATGTTGAGTGTATAACATGTTGGTGTATAATATTTGTTGAGTGTATAATATGTTGGTCTATAATATATGTTGAGTGTATAACATGTTGGTCTATAATATATGTTGAGTGTACAACGTGTTGGTCTATAATATATGTTGAGTGTATAATATGTTGGTCTATAATATATGTTGAGTGTATAATATGTTGGTCTATAATATATGTTGAGTGTATAACATGTTGGTCTATAATATATGTTGAGTGTACAACGTGTTGGTCTATAATATATGTTGAGTGTATAATATGTTGGTCTATAATATATGTTGAGTGTATAATATGTTGGTCTATAATATATGTTGAATGTATAACATGTTGGTCTATAATATATGTTGAGTGTACAACGTGTTGGTCTATAATATATGTTGAGTGTATAATATGTTGGTCTATAATATATGTTGAGTGTATAACATGTTGGTGTATAATATATGTTGAGTGTATAATATGTTGGTCTATAATATATGTTGAGTGTACAACGTGTTGGTCTATAATATATTTTGAGTGTATAATGTTTTGTTTTTGTTTAAAAATAATAATAATAATAATAATTTTCCGACTAGCACAGAAATATAATGAACACAAGAGAAAAAGGAGAAGTATAATACATTGGGTGTATAAAATGTTTAGATTATAATATGTTGGGTGCATAAAATGTTGAGTGTATAATATGTTGGGTGTATAACATGTTGAGTGTACAATATGTTGAGTGTATAACGCTTTGGGTACATAATATGTTGGTCTACAATACATGTTGAGTGTATAATTTGTTGGGTGTACAATACATGTTGAGTGTATAATATGTTGGGTGTATAATTTGTTGGGTGTATAACATGCTGCTGTATAATATTTGTTAAGTTTAGAATATGTCCAGTATATAACATGTTGGTGTATAATATATTAGGTGTATATTTTTTTGCGTGTATAACATGTTAGTTGTATATTTTTTTGGGTGTATAATTTGTTAGGTGTATATTATGTTGGGTGTATAGCATGTTGGTGCATAATATGTTGAGTGCATAATTTGTTGGGTGTATAACATGCTGGTGTATATTATGTTGGGTGTATAACATGTTGGTGTTTAATATTTGTTAACTTTATAATATGTTGGGTGTATAATTTGTTGGGTGTATAACATGTTGGTGCATAATATTTGTTAAGTTTATAAAATGTCGGGTGTATAATATGTTGGTGTATAATATATTGGGTGTTTAACATGTTGGTGTATAATATACTGGGTGTATAATTTGATGGGTGTATAACATGTTGGTGTATAATATACTGGGTGTATAATTTGTTGGGTGTATAACATGTTGGTGTATAATATACTGGGTGTATAATTTGTTGGGTGTATAACATGTTGGTGTATAATATATTGGGTGTATAATTTGTTGGGTGTATAACATGTTGGTGTATAATATATTGGGTGTATAATTTGTTGGGTGTATATCATGTTGGTGTATAATATATTGGGTGTATAATTTGTTGGGTGTTTAACATGTTGGTGTATAATATACTGGGTGTATAATTTGTTGGGTGTATAACATGTTGGTGTATAATATACTGGGTGTATAATTTGATGGGTGTATAACATGTTGGTGTATAATATACTGGGTGTATAATTTGTTGGGTGTATAACATGTTGGTGTATAATATATTGGGTGTATAATTTGTTGGGTGTATAACATGTTGGTGTATAATATATTGGGTGTATAATTTGTTGGGTGTTTAACATGTGGGTGTATAATATACTGGGTGTATAATTTGTTGGGTGTATAACATGTTGGTGTATAATATACTGGGTGTATAATTTGATGGGTGTATAACATGTTGGTGTATAATATACTGGGTGTATAATTTGTTGGGTGTATAACATGTTGGTGTATAATATATTGGGTGTATAATTTGTTGGGTGTATAACATGTTGGTGTATAATATATTGGGTGTATAATATATTGGGTGTATAATATATTGGGTGTATAATATATTGGGTGTATAATATATTGGGTGTATAACATGTTGGTGTATAATATACTGGGTGTATAATTTGTTGGGTGTACAACATGTTGGTGTATAATATTTGTTTAGTGTAGAACCTGTTGTGGACGAATCACCAAAATGTTATGCCTGAGTTTACAGCCGGTGAACACAAAAAGAAGAAAATCTGTTCAGCGTATAGAATAACGGGTGTATAGTATAATGGGCGCATAGTATAATGGGCGCATAGTATAATGGGCGTATAGTATAACGGGTGTATGGTATAACAAGTGTATAGTATAATAGGTGTATAGTATAATAAGTGTATAGTATAATGGATGTATAGTATATCATGTGTATAGTATAACGAGTGTATAGTATAATGGGTGTATAGTATAACGGGTGTATAGTAAAATAGGTGTATAGTATATCATGTGTATAGCATAATAGGTATATAGCATAATGGGTATATAGTATAATGGGTGTATAGCATATTATGTGTATAGCATAAAGAGTGTATACTATAATAGGTGTATACTATAATAGGTGTATACTATAATAGGTGTATAATTTAATGTGCGTATAAGGTGCGTATAATATAATGTGTGTATAATATTAATGGGTGTATAATACTAATGGGTGTATAACATAATAGGCATATAATATAATAGGGTATAATATAATGAATGTATAATATAATGGGTGTATAATGGATGTATAATATAATATGTGTATAATTTAATATGCGTATAATATAATGGGTGTATAATGTTGGGTGTATAATTTAATGCGTGCATAATGTTGGTTATTTAATATCGGGTGTATAATTTAATGTGTGCATAATGTTGGGTGTATAATGCTGAGTGTATAATTTTAGGTGTATAAAGTTGGGTGTACAATGTAATTCGTGCATAATGTTGGATTTATATAATGCTGAGTGTATAATATAACAGGTGTTTAATGTTGAGTGTATAATTTAATGGGTGTATAATGTTCAGGGTATAATGTATGTGTGTATAATGTTGTGTGTATAGTTTTAAAATGTTACATAAAACCAGTTCTCCTGTATGGCAGCGAATCTTGGAATGCCAGTGAAGAAATTATTGTAAGAGAAATTTAAAAGCAACTGATATGTGGTTTCTAAGACGAGTGTTACGAATACTTTGGACGGCCAGAGTAACTAACGATTGTTTGAAAGAAGCTGAAGAAAGTAGATCTCTGTATACAATAATAAGAAGAAGACAGACACTGTTCTTTGGCCACGTGATGAGAAGAGAGGCACTGGAAAACACGGTGACAACTGGAAAGATCAGTGGAAAGAGGGGTAGAGGCAGACCAAGAGAGAAGATGATGGATGGGCTGAATCGATGGCGTGAATGGATGTCATCAAGAGAGGTGTTCCAGGCAACTAGGGATCGTGATCTGTGAAGACGCATGAGCGGTTACGCCAGTTGACAGGGCACGCGATGATAATGATGTAAAGTTTAATGGAAGTATAATGTTGTGTGTATAGCATAATTTAAGCAGTGCAACAAAACAGACAGAAAACCCATTTACTGAAAGGCTTATTCAACAGGGGTTGTGAGCTGAGGTTCTCGAAGATATTACATACTAAAGGAGAAGCACAGGCGGCGGACTTTTAATCAGATTGCAACTGGTACTAAAAGCATGTCGACTCTGTTGGATACTGATGACGGAACGGAACACGCGCCGGAGTGTCCGGGGTGCAATGTGGTCACTTCTTAATTTATGCAATCATTATATTCAAAGTAATGAGCTACTATAACTTATGGTCAAAAACGTGCTTCAAAAGTAAAAAAAAAAAAAAAATACGTTTAACTGGCAAGGAAACACCATGTGTTCTTTACGTATATTAAGCTATGAGACATGTGTGACTGCACTCCGTTCGTTTGGCCAGAGAATACTTCAGAAATCTGGCAACATTTATTTTATACAGTGCACAAATATGTTATCCTAAACATATAGTAACTACGGTTTGATGGCTGTTATTGTCTCAGTAGCCACCGGAATTGAAACTCTTCGCTTGCTGCTGAAGATAGGGACGGAGGGCGTATTGGAA